AACACAATGGACTTTCGAGAAAAAAAAATCAAGACATAAACATAAAACCTTATTTCTATAATGTTTATAGTTTCTGTGTAATCTGTGAGTCTTTCGTATCATTTTTTTTTATTCTGTGGTTAAAGTTAAATTTTCGTAACATTCATTGTGATTCGTGCTATTTTACAGTTGTATTGCTGTTACTTGTTGTCATAACATTATAAGTTTGTTTGTGACAGACCGGAAAGGTCGGAACTGAAATTATTTATACTCTCCGTTTAGACTGTCAAGATCATTCTACGGTCCTAGCTGCAACCAGAGTCCTTGAGAAAAATATCTTAAGATAAATTGTACACCACAGTGCAAGAAAACTTATCTTTGAAAACAAAAATCATTAAAAGCGAAAAAGAATAAACGTATAAAAGATAACACAAGCCTTCAAGATTAATTATAGTGAAAAAACCCTCTTACAAACAATTAAGGAACGACAACAAAATTGATTTAATATTATTGTGCCATGTATCTAGATGATATCATGTATTAAAGGCAGAAATTTATCATAAATTTATTCTGTTTTATGAATAATTGCTGAATGTCTTATAACTATGAGGATGTAAAAATTAAGAAATGAGATAATTTAAAAGAAAAAACGAAATATAATAATAATTGTCCCTTTAAAGTTTTAGCCACTCATTACAGAATATTAATTGATAATATTTGTTACTTTATATAGAGTACTACAGTGTTACGTCACGATACCACGTGATACTTCTCTGTTGCTATCGTTGCAAAATGCGTTCAACTGGATGCCATTTTCCTCACTGACAAACAATTGAGCCCAATTACTAACGTAATTATTAAGATGTTATCTTAGTTTTTCTTTGTAAATTTAAACTGATGATTAAATGTGTGTTCAAAAAACATAGCGTGAGCATTTTTGTTTCTAATACATTTTGATGGTAAAACATTAGATTTTAAAATGCCTATTCCAGAAAATATATGAAGTCATTCAGGCGTAATGAACGGTAACCAACCTCTGGTTGGCAACAGAGGGCGCTACCTGGCGTTGTGACGACACGACTGTGGTACTCTATAAGAGCGAAGGTAAACAACTTACCGTCACAATCTAGTTGGAAACATTTATATACAGCATTCTCATCTTCGTCAAAATTTGCATTGGTTGGAGAGATCACGAAATCATATTGCGATTCCTGACATTTTGTGAGATGTAAACAAACGTATTGTGCTTGCTCGCAATTTAAATCAGTCATATTCAAGTTGTATGACACGATACCGATATTAGATGTAGTGAAGGGAACAAGTCTGGTTGCGCTCTTTGCATTATTTAGTGCTTGTCGTACTTGGTTGTAGCGTGTACCTTTACCATCAGCACTGTCAGTAGCGTAGACGGCTACATTCCATGAATTTTCTCCATTTATACCAATTGGACCACGTGAGATTATGTTCACATCAAAATCCATTTCGTTGTTCAGTTGCCTTTGTGAAACAATTAATGCACTATTTGCTTC